AGAGAGAGTGTGTGTGTGAGAGAGAGAGTGTGTGTGTGAGTGTGAGTTCTCACCGGGGGCTGCTGGTGTCTCTTGGGTTGTGAAACCACTCTGTTAGTTTGGAGTCAGAAGCCACTCCCACTTTCACCATATATGAGTCGGGCTCCACACGGAAAGCCCAGTAATGGCGTCCGTGAGAGATGCCCGTGTCGCCGATGATGTAGTCGAGACAGATGTAGCTCCCCGTCTGCACGCGCTCCGCGGCCAAAAGGAAGCTCGTCCCCGCCACGCTCTCCACAGAGTCCCTGCGTTTGCTCAGCTGCAGCCGCTCCGCACTGAACCCACACTTCTCGTTAAACAAGAAGCCAAACACTGAGGAGCAGAGACACAGATCTCAATCCACGGCCATCTGACTCACTCAGCCTCTCATACACAGATTTATATCAACATTAGCAGGGTGAAAGAATCATTAATAACACATATCGTGTAGTGATGGACGGGATTTTCTCCCCCAAATCAATTAAGCGCAAACCCCACAGATTCTAAAGATTTCATTGGTAATGTGCTGACTGTCTACACATTTACATTTACATTTAGCAGACGCTTTTATCCAAAGCGACTTACAAATGAGGACAATGGAAGCAATCAAAATCAACAGAAGAGCAATGATATGGAAGTGCTATACTATACTACACAACGCTGAAACAAACACGAACCCTAACCTGAACCTCAGGAGAACAGCACGCTCGGATAGACAGGATTACTGTTTGCAGCCATCGGCTCCATTATTATTATTATTTTTTTTTAAGTCTGAACTTTTCTTGACGGGGCTGTGAGATTGAGTTGACCAATGAAAACGTCTGCAGGACGGGGTTTGCACAACTGCTTTGGGGAAAAATAAAAACCACACTAGTGGTGGTGAAATGAAGTTTCTGAATCAAGGATCTTCTCTGGCCACCTGCTGGACAAAAAGAGTCCATCTCCAGTTACAGCGGCTGCTTCTACAACGGCTCCTTTGACAATTTTGAAGCCATAAAAGTCAAAGCTATCAATATGTTTGGGTGTATCATTCAAAATTCATTCATACCAGGGGTCACAACCTTTTGGCCATGAAGTGCCATTTTTAACATTTCTGGCTGATCACTGTGCTGCACACTGTCTGGCCAAAACAACAAAAACAAAAAACGAGGTAGGTCTAAAAACTCATCAAAAGTCATTGTAGTGCCTTTAGCTTTGATTACAGTGCGTGTTCATCACGGTATTTTTTTCGTGTTTGGTGAGTGAGTGTGTGTGTGTGTGTGAGTGTGTGAGAGAGTGTGTGTGTGTGTGTGTGTGTGTGTGTGTGAGAGAGTGTGTGTGTGTGTGTGTGTGTGTGTGTGTGAGAGAGTGTGTGTGTGTGTGGAGAGAGAGAGTGAGAGAGTGAGAGAGTGAGTGAGTGAGTGAGTGAGTGAGTGAGTGAGTGAGTGAGTGAGTGAGTGAGTGAGTGAGTGAGTGAGTGAGTGAGTGAGTGAGTGAGTGAGTGAGTGAGTGAGTGAGTGAGTGAGTGAGTGAGTGAGTGAGTGAGTGAGTGAGTGAGTGAGTGAGTGAGTGAGTGAGTGAGTGAGTGAGTGAGTGAGTGAGTGAGTGAGTGAGTGAGTGAGTGTTTACCCGGCGCTGGAGGCGTGTGGAAGGACACCTCAGGGCTGCAGGGGCTGAACACACCGTTACGGCAGCTCTTCACTCTGAAAGCGTAGCGAGCGTCGCCGGCCAGATCAGACACCACCGTGCTGCAGCCGTAAACACGCTCCGTCGCGCTCCAGCGGGATTCCTCCTCAGCCCCCAGCTTCCTGAACTCCACAATGTGATGATCGGTGGGCAGAGAGTCTTCAGACAGCCGCCAGTGGATCAGACCCTCGTTATAAACGCGGCAGCGAGAGAGATCGATCACTGGAGGCGCAGGAACTGATGACAGAAAGGATGAACATTTCAGTCAGCACAGAGTGTCTTCTTCACGAGCATCTGGCCTCATGCAAAACACAATCACAGTCACGCTCTTGGCTGCGTCACATTTAACGGCAAACCAGGATAACTGCAAGTTTACTCAATACTTGTTTTATTCAATATTTACATATTTAAATGAAATGTTTTGACTTTTAAATGTGCAGCACTCATGTTTATTTAATCAGTCATAGCCTTCGTGCATAGAGCGGCAACTCTGTTTTTCCATTCCCAAATGTAAGACCTCTTAAAATGATAATTAAGACTTTTGTCATACTAAAGGCCATAAATATGACAAACTAAATGTAAGACTTATTAAGGACCTGCCGTAAACCCTGCTCTAACTGCACACAAATTACAAAGACATTTTTTAGAAACGAACAAGCAACGGGGCTTCTGATGATTACACAGTAACTGAAGGGACACAGGACCAAGATAAATCTAACGGCTCACATAATTCAGTCAACATTGAACTGACTCCAGCTGACCTTCCTATAGCTGATCGAATGACTTCACACTGCTATTGATCTGAATAATGACTCTATTGTCTTTTAGAGCTGCTGTTGAGTTTCCATCACTGATTCTGCTATTTTGATCTGCTTTGACTCATTCTGAAAGCGCCGTTGAAATAAAGGTGACTTTAACAAGTGCCATATCTTTATGCATCGGCTGTGAAATGCAGCATAAATCTGCTGTCTCTCAGAGTCCTGCTATTGTTCCTTAAACCGTTCCAACACAGCGAGACACACGTGACCCCGAGGACGAGGCCCGCTGGTCGCCGTGGAGACGGGGCCCGTCACGGCCAGCCGGTCTGCCAAGAGCCCAGGCATGACGCCCGAAACACTTCTGTGAATAACAAGCTATTGATCCATACAGGAGACGCATTAATCTGGACGGAGGAGACCGTGAGACGGCAGCAGCAGGAAAACCTGCAGTGGAAGCTGAGAGAATCTGTTGTACTGCGGCAGAATTAAAGCTGATGATGGAAAAGCATCGCTGAGTTTTGCCTCGTCAACGATTCAGCCAATCGCATTCCAGCTGCAATGATAAAGATTCCCGCCAGCAGCAGCATTAGCGCTGATCAATAACCTCCTGCGTTTCTGTGGTCAGCATCTAAACGTGTCTCACAAGGTTAAAATCCTCCAGCTGGAGGAACGAGGAGCCTAACGGTGCACAGCACGATAAAGCCACACCGATTCTCCACCCGCTCCCTGAGAGCCTTTGCTCAGCAGCACTGACGAACACATGTAGAGGAACACAAGAAACCTTTAACCTCAGGACAGGTCAGCGAGAGATGTTACGCTGACTTCAGAAAGCCTGTAAGTGGATTACTCTGCTAACAGCTCAGGAGAGTCTCACCGCCACTGAAGCTCAGCTCCTTTAGTAAGAGCTCCTCCTTCGACGTGTCCAGCACAAACTCCTCAAATGACGGCGTTGCCGCAGGCTGGAAGGTCTTCAGAGACTCGGTGGCTTTCTGAATCCTGTTAACAGAAACGACAGTCATTCAACTGACGTGAAATAAAGTGGATATTTCCCAACAGCTCCGCAGTAATGAGTTTATGAATTACTTGCATACAAGATACAATCAGACAGAAAATCAGAATTGTACTACAGTATCAGAAGTGCATTACAGATCCCAGAGGAACAGCTCCGTTCATTACGTTGGCTTGAGAAAGGACTTGGGGTTTTCCTAAAAATGACGATGAAAACCCGGGAAAAAATCCCAGACTTACATCAGATGAGCCAAAACTCTTCAAACTCCAACTGATAAGCATTCAAATCTAAACTCACTGAAGCCCTATATAATCTTTCCATTGATGTATGGTTTGTTAGGATAGCACAATATTTGAAAATCTGGAATCTGAGGGTGCAAAAAAATCTAAATATTGAGAAAATCATCTTTAAAGCTGTTCAAATGAAGTTCTTAGCAATGCATATTACTAATCAAACATTAAGTTTTGATATATTTACGGTAGGAAATGTACAAAATATCTTCATGGAACATGATCTTTACTTAATATCCTAATGATTTTTGGCATAAAAGAGAAATGTATAATTGTGACCCATACAATGTATTGTTGGCTATTGCTACAAATATCCCCCAGCGACTCAACACTGCTTTTGTGCTGCAGGGACACATATAGACTAATTTAAGCTTCCATCCTACGTAATATTTCTAATCTTTCTATCATTTCAATCTTTAAAATCTTTCAGGCAAGGCTTTCTCAAGCCAACGTTAAGTTTGTCTTGATGAACGACATCTAGTTCTCTGGGAAGAGTCGTCTAAGTGTTTTAAATCATCTAAATTAACGACACGAAGCTGCATTACTCTGAAGCTGCTTTGAAACGATCTGTATGGTCTAAAAGCGTCACTGTTACCAGCTGTAAACCCATGTGGCGAATCCAAAGCAGTGACTCAGGGTTTGTGGGAAAGTGAACGGCAAAGCAGCTTTGTGGACTAACAGAGATCAGGATTACAGTGAATGAACCGAGCCTAGTTTAAATCTAGAAACAAGCCAGAGGACAAAGATTACGGTCACGTGTCTCGAGGCTAAACGAGTCGAGGCCGAACCTGACGTGCAGCAGTTTGGCCGTCTGGACGAAGCAGGACTGATCCGTCTCCTTCAGCACCTCCTGAGCGTATCCCACAAGGCCGCTGTTCTCCAGCATGCCCTGGTACTCCTCCACCTGCGCCCGCAGACGCTCCACCCGCAGACTCCGGCTCTGCTCGATGGAGCGCAGCATCTCCGTCCTCCGCTCCTGAAGCGTCTCGAAGAGATGCTCGAAGTGTTCGTTGGCGCGTCTCTCGGCGAGCTGCCCGTTCTCCTGCGTTCAGAGGAAGATCCGAGACAATGATCCTGCTGCCGTCATGCAAATACACTGACCACCTCCGCATGATATCTTTCATGCTGGTTCTTTATGAGTATTTTGAGAGTTAGCAGTACAGACAAACTAATTTCCCTACTGAAAATAAACAGGGAAGTCAAGGGAACAAAACATAAAAAATAAAAAAAAGATTTCAGATATATTACACTCGGCCTGTCTACGTTATGAAAACTGGCGTAACACAATCCTACTCTCAAATATTATAACAGGGATATTAGTAATAGTAATTCCAATAATTCCAAAAGGCCAGATTGCATAAATCAAAAAGCCAGGAAGAATATGTATCCGTTTAACAGAAAAGCTCAGTTTGGGGGATTTGAGCTCTTGATATCTGGCAACCGCAAACGTGAACGCTCGCGTAACAGAGTCTTGCACAGCAGTCTGAAATGTCTCCGCTACACTTTTTTAAACAAAAATAAAAAGGTTTTGGTAAAGTTTTCGCGCTTTTAACTACATTTTAGTCTCGTCTTTTTATTGCATGTTGATATAGTCTCAGTTATCGTTTAATGACCTTATTATTGTCTCGTTTTCGTCAAGAGAAAAACCTTCATTGATGAACATTTTTGGTCATAGATTTCATTAATGAAATTAACACTACCTCAGAATGAATGCTGGTAAGCAGTGTTGGGGGGGAACGCATTACAAGTAACACGAGTCAGATTACTTATTAAGTAACTAGTAAAGTAACACATTACTTTTAAATTTACAAGAAAATTTCTGAGTTACTTTTTCAAATAAGTTACTCTGCTGTCCGCATGTTGAGAGAAATCAGAGCGCTTCCTTCAGCCGGAGGATCATTATCATCACTTTTGGTGTGAAAGGGCCTTTACAGTTGCCAAAAAGATTAAATTTGGGGTTTTTGTTATTAAAAATGATTAAACAAGCCCAGATCATATGAGAAAAAGTAATGCTAAAGTAACGTAATGCATTACTTTCCATAAAAAGTAACCAAGTAACAATCAACACGCCAACATTAAAAACGCATTCAACCCACGCTAAGAGCTCGTGGACATAAACATGACATCAACAGCAGCATAAAACGCTTCTCTGAATGAACGCTCCAATGAGGGAGCTTCAGTCACATCTGTTCCGACTGTTCTGGCCAATCAGGATCAAGCAGGAAATGAGCTCGCCGTTACCTCTGTGTGACGCATCATCACCTCCAGCTCAGAAATCTGAGTCCTCACTTGGTCCTCTTTGCTAATTAGGTAATGGATACTCTTCGATAGCTTCTCCTGTTGACAGAGGAGTTAAGCCCATTAGAACACAGCGGAAAAATCGACCTCCCGCATGATTTCCGGACAGCGAGAGACGCCTAATACAGCTTTTGAGAGCATCTACAACACCGGGACCTGGACAGAACATCTTAAGATAGAAATATTGCATTAAAAATGGATGAGTGACGGCTCTTGTTTGCAGTCGTCTAATATTTCTGACTCAGCAGATGCTGACAGAGACTGAGCTCGGTCCCTCCTCGGACAAATCTATCCACCAGAAACACAA